ATATCATCTGTCTTCAATAATTAAGATAATGAGACATATGAAAAGATCAGAAAATTCTGATATGAAATTTTGTAACCAAGGACAGACTATGAGTGCCCCTAAATATTCTGAGAACAACTATACCAAAATCTTTAGTAGCATATCAGTGTATTGTTTGGTTTTAATTGTTACAGTTTTCCTAATACCAAGATCTAAGGAAATTCCATCACAGCAATTGTAATGAGTATGTTTGTGCCAGTACAACAAAAAGAGAATTAAGTACCAGCCAGGTTACTGACTACTATATGGATAAGCCCAGAAACCCATCCCTGAACCTGCATGCCATGTATAGATGTCATGACTTATCCTCAAATGATGGTACCAGTGGCACTGCATGCCAAAAGCAGGGTCTGGCCCTAATATAGCGCTGAGAATAAAGCCAATGCTTAGCCTAGCTCACTACTTGAGCTCATCCCCCATATCTGGATTTAATATATTATATAATAAAGTATTTAGTACATTTGGAATTTTAACCAGATGGAATCCTCCAATGATTTAGCATTATCTATATGTATATGGACAATCCCAGCAGAATGGTTCTTTAACTAAATTTTGTGGTGTTTGATATAATTGCTGGTTAGTTACTAACCAATTTGGGTTAAGCTAAAATTAGTATTCCATTGAGTTGGGAAGTTAGGTTTGAGTGGGGCCAATTGGTGGCCCCAAATTATTATAAGGATTACCAGCAACTAATAGCTGAAAATGATCCAATTAGTTAAATTTGGTATATGTTGGCAAAATCTGTGTTTGACGTTAGCTGCCATTTGTGGACCATTGTGGGAATTTTGGTGGAAAGCTGATGTATTTTCTATTAACCGTCTGACTATGATTTTGCTCCTAAATTGGAGTACCAGTGACTTATGCTGAGGATGCTCCAATTGTACTAATTATTTAATGATGGTGGAATCTTATAATAATGAGTTTGAGGTAGCCATGGTTGTTTTCAGCACCTCATATTTATTAAATTAACTATTGCCTGATTAAAGGCACTTCCCAAACAATCAATTGAAATGAGTCAAGATGTGATGTCAGCAAGATGCTGAGATATTTTAAGTTAAAGCATGTGACTTAAGTGGTTTCTGGTGCATTATAATCAATTTAAGGTCAAATCCAAATTTGATGATTATTTAATTTAATATATTATACACTTCACTGGCAACTCAAGGCTGAGGATGAGCTGAAACTAATTCAGACATTGGAAAGAATGGGGTGAGAGGGTTGATGTCAGGGATTAGATTAACACAGCAGAAGGATTAGAAGAATGGTTGGCTGGAAGGTCCAGCAGAAAGCTGATAGGTCAGCAATGGGTGAAGTAGCTCTGTTGTAAATATTTATATACCAGGCGTTTCCTTTCAATAAACATTTCCCTTTGCCCATTATCTTTTATGATTTAATTTTTATTTATTTTGTTGGTTAGGGATGAGGCTGAGGGATCCCAAATGGTGCAGGAAAAACTCCAAGGGGTCAGCTGGTGCTGCTGGCCCCATGCCTAAGACAAAATAGCAAGGGCTGGCTAGTCTTCATACTGGTTGGCCTGCCAACTAGAAGAGCCCACAGTCTATTTTACAAGTACCAATTAGATATGGTAGCAATGTTTATTTTAATGGTAAATTTTTAGCAGATGAAACTAAATTCTTAGTTTTCACCTTCCTCTTAGTATAGCAACTGCAAACCCTCAACTAAGCTTCTCTCCTACCTATGCTCTCAAGTGACAAACAGATCATCATCTGAGAAGATTTAGTATCCCATTTGATCATTATTTGGAGAGTTTGAGATGCTGGTGTCAAATTCTTTTGGATAAGTATAAGCTTCAGAAATAAAATTCCTTACCTTTGACTCACCAATTCACAATCTGATCTTCCATCAATCTTGTTTTATCTAATCTGATCCTCAATTTCTCAGCAGAATCTGAGACTTTGCTCACTAAGTTAATGTTCAGACAAGGCTGCGCTTGATCCGCTACATCATCCCCCTGTGAGACCCAAAATTCATGAACCTTCTCTGGGCACTTTGCGCATTCTTCTTGCATTTGCCCCATCACCTCCTACACTTGGTACCCCTTCAATTTCACAAGAACTACTGCCAGCCTCTAAACCACCGCACATCCAGTATCCTCTTGACATTATACTCCTGACCATCCTCTTTGTGAGGGCTCAGCGATCCCAGGCAATCTGTTCCTTTCATTTAGGTGGACGTAGCTGTGAAGCATGGATTACTGGATGGGCCTTAGACCCTTCTGGAAGCTCTAGTTTAAAAGTGACTTTATTGATAATGCAAAATTATTTTGTACAGACTAAAAACTTCAGGCCCAGCTTTAAACTCCTCACTGGCACAGCTTAGTTTTTAGATGCCACTAGCACCCAATCTTCAGAACCAAATTGTGGATACAAAGCTCTTTGTTGGCCGCTTGTCACTTCTGCTATGAAATGGCTTATTCCAAATTCCCTTGTATCATTCTCTCAATGTCTGTCATGGTGCAGGCTATCTAATCTGCCCCTTGATGCACTCCTTCCTAGAACACCATCCAACGTAGTACTAGATCCAAAATTTTGTGTAAAATGGGGTCATTCCTATTGACTAATAGCTGTGATTATTATATGCAAACTGGGAAAATGGACCCCTGAAACCAAATCATCCTGCAAATTAGAAATGTAACAACAGAGATAATGCTTAAGTATTTGATTCACTCTCTCTATTTTCCCATCAGACTGGAGATAATATACTGAGGATTGACATGGGCAATTTTCAAATTTTTCAGAAAATTAGACCAAAATTTTGACACAAATGGGACCCACAATCCAAAACAATATTGCTGGTAACCTATTATGGGTGAAGATATCATTAACAAAAAACCTTACTGCATCTTTTATTGAAAATTGTGTAAGGAGAGCGTCTATAACTCTCCAGTTCCCAGTGTGGCGGTGCTCAGTGCACAGGCCCAATGCCAGGGAACTAGTTGTTAATGCCAGATGGATTAGAGCCCAGCAGAGGGTGCTGGAGCAATAACCGCTGAGGCATAATATTGCGAATTTTATAATAAAACCCCATAGAAGGGCGACGCGGTGCACCTATCAGACAGGGTTAGGTGGCCCAGGTTGGAGGGATCCTGGGCAGACAAATGGTGCACAAAGGGAGAGCTTAATGGTACTTGCAATGGCAAGTGTAACAGAATGTGAGACCTCCTCAAAGAGGCTCACGCACAGGAGCATTCAGAATATCATAAAATAAAAAATGACTTAAAATGGAGGATAGGTTTATTTGGGAAGTTGACCAACAAGGAATGTTGGTCAGGGAAAATGTATTTAAGCTCAGATGGGGAAATGGGGTTATGCTGCAGTGGGCCCAAGCAGCAGTTCACCAATAGGGAGATACTGCCATCTGAGTTAGTAAAATAGGCTGAAAATGACTTCACTCAAGTTATTGACTGAAGTTGGATTCAACCCAAGCGCGTTATTTCATAGGCAGAATGGGTTTCGAACCCTTGTTCCAAAACTAAGCGAACTGAACCATCTGCCTTAATATGGTAGATAGTTCGTTTTAACGCTTGAGCTGCTGTCAGGGGCTGGGCGTTTGGCGTACCACTGGTCCCAACCTGGGCATATTTTGCCCAGACCCAGCGTTGGTCCAGGGTGTTCTTCAGGTTAGGAAGGGCCTGCAACTTCACCTTCTGGGCCTCCAGGCGCCCAGCCTTGTCTTTGGGGTTGATCCCCACTATTATGTCATGTTCACATGACAAATTGGTTGTGCATGGAAAAACTCAGCATATTTAGTTAATCAATTAATGACCACTATGATTGCATCCTTCTCCTGGACCCTTGTAAGGACTATTATAAAATTTATACTAATTAAAGCTCACAGCCAACCTGAAATTTGACAAATATTTAACTTACCAGTGGGTGGTTTTTTATAAGGTCTTGATCTAGCGCAAACTAAACATTCCCCCATATATGTTATAACGTTCTTCCAAAAACCATCCATGAGAAATTACGCTTCACCAGCTCACCAATTTTTTGACTCTAGGGTTACCTGCCAACAGATGATCATGAGAAACCCACAACACCTCCCACTGAAATAATGAATTTGGGGCCCATATGCACAAATAATGGTACAATACTCCGGTTTTCCACATATATGTGGTAGTAGCCATGTTGTTGTCCTTCTGCTACCTCAGCCCATAACCACCATTTGAATTCCAACTTCCTTTGTTTCTGGCGGATTTCCTTCTCTAATTCACTTCCCCTACCTTCAATCATAAGAATTAATCTGGATGGAACATTTTAACTGTGTTGAATCCTTCCAACTCAGCCCTCTTGTAGACCAACTCTGCATTATGACTTAGCCAAGATGCCAGATTGTTGGTCAATCCCAACAAGTATTTTACCTAAAAATCATACTGGATCAGCTCCACGTGCCATCGGGCTTAATGCTGGTCCATCTTATTGCCATATGATAGTATTCAAGGCTCTATGATCATTTTGAACCACAAAAGGATGGCAGGCATATAGCAGGTGGTGTTGCCATTACTTTAAAGCCAATACTGCCGCCAGAAAATATTTATTATATATTGGGCAATTTGCTTTTGGAAGAATATTATCCCAGCTAAATTAACACATGGGTGTTCTAATCATCCTCTCCTTCTTGTAGTAGTACTTCCCAATGGCGCAGTCCAAGGCATCCCATTTCAACCTTGAAGGATTTTCTGGGGCCAGGATGATCCAAAATTGGCGCTGATAGTAGTATCCCCTTCAACAAATTAAATGCTTGATTATCCTCCTCTCCCCATACTTATGTCATATCTCTCATTAAACGCGTAAGAAGGGTGGTTAGCCTGGAAAGAGTGGTTAGCCTGGCAGGTAAAACTGCTTCCACCCTAGTGCAGGTTTTGAATTTGAAACCTTTACTGGCTAGAAAAATTCTTGGTGTGGTATATTTGTCCCAAAGTCAACCCACCTCAAATAAAGGCTTTATAATTAAGTGGTAAAATGCTTAGTTTGCAAAGCTGGTGACCTGGGTTCCAATCCCCTTGGGTATGCATGTAATTTAAGGGTGGTTAGCCTGGCAGGTAACACTGCTTCTACCCTAGTACAGGTTTCAAGTTCAAAACCTGTACTGGCTAGAAAAATTCTTAGTGTGGTATATTTGTCCCAAGGTTGACCCACCTCAAATATTTTAAACATGTAAGAGGTAGGGCTACTTCCAATAAATTTTTCATGAACTTCCATAAGAAAATTCATCATCCCAAGTATATCCACACCCCTATTCAGTCCATTGGTGTTTTTCATGCTTGAACAGCCTGCAGCTTGTTGGCCATATCACAAGTCCATTCCTTAATACTAATTGCCCAGAAATGTCATGGAGCCTTAGTTAAATTAGCATTTCAATAGCTACACCTCAGTAATGTCTTGGCAATCACTCCAAGTATTTCCTGCACATCACGCACATAATCTTCCTGGGAACAGGAAAAATATGATGATTTTGTCTATATATGACGCACAGCAACAGTTGATCATACCCCCAGGATGTGATCAACCATCCAATGAAACAATGTTGGGGCGTTACATATCTTAAAAGGCATTATGCAATACTAAAACATCCTCAAGTGGTACTTAAACGCCATATATTTCTAATGATCAAGTCTCATTGGGACCTAATTAAACCTGTCCGTGAGATCTAGCTTTGTAAAAGCTATAAACCCATGAACATTGAAAGAATATCCTCTATCAGGGGTATTAGATAGGGATTGGGCTCCATAACTGCATTTAGCCGCTGAAAATCCACATAGTCACAATTTATCACTTGCTTTTGGCACTAACAGTACTGGCGACATGATGGCAGATTTTGATGGCCTGAATAACCCTTTTTTCAGCATCAGCCCTATGTGATACTCTAGTGCAGCTTTCGCCTTCTTATTGAGTTGGAAAACTGAACATCCTCAGGAAAGATTTGACCCTCTTAAATTAAAAAAGAAAATGCAAATGGGCCAGTGGGGGAAAATGAATCCCTCATAGGCTCAATTACTCTCACAAAAATTGTAATATTCCACCAGAAAAACTTCCACCTGCATCACTCCCATGTCTTTTTGTTCATTTAGCATATACTCCCCAATTATCAGCCTCCATCTCATCAGTAGCACCATCCGCAGATTCAAGATAACCGCATGGAAAGGCAATCCAATCTGGGGCCAAAACTGATGCCACCATTGCATCCCCAACACCACTGGATGGGTCAGATTATCTATTGCGTAAAAATTCTCCTTGAACCAAAACGGATTCTGCTGTACTTCTATTAAGGGTCTTACTTGCCATGAGGGAGCCTCCATGACACATCAGTTTATATGGCCTCTGATAACTCATGAATCTTCAACTTCAATCTCCTTACTACCACAAGTTCAATGTAATTCTCCTCTACCCCTGTATCCACCAGGGCCAAAACCTCTTCCATTTCACCTTGCATGTATAACTATATTGGTATAAGTAAATGAGGACAAAGCAAAGATGCAGGTTTATTTTTTAATGATTTTTTCTATTGCAAATTTGCAGGTGACGTATGCTTAGGCACGTCCTCCTTCTCATGTATATGGCTTGCCGCTCCACTGGCGTCCTCTGCGTTTCCTTGTTAGGCCCCTTGTATATTTATGAAGCTATGAGATGAGGCATGCCAACTTCCCTGTCCATGCCAACCACCCGCCAGAAATCGCCCCTTCCCAGAGACATGGGACCTTCACTCTGGTCATGTGCCAAAACCAGTTGTTTAGAAACCTGTAGAAATAGAATTAATTCCTCCAACAATGTACCTTAGAAGCTTATGCCACCATGGTTTCCAGAAAATCCGCCTGTATCCCTTCCAAATCATTTAAGACGATTGTGAATCTGCCATTTGGGCCACCTATTAGCATCGAAAATCGCGTGTACTCCTCTACTGAGCTACACCATTAGCTTAACCATCAAAAGCATTGACCATGCTTCTTCCTGAGCCTAATCTGGGCAGGCCATATAGTTGATTAAATCCACACATATCAATGGAACTTGGGAGGCGACCTTACTCCTTAATCAACCCCTGTACCCATACTGACAAGTCTGATGGTGATGCATCCACACTTTGTGTGATCTGGAGCGAGAAAGAGGACTCTCTCCTGTCACCTGAGCTAGACGTGCCTGGAACCAAATCCGCGCAATCACCTGATGAATCTTATCCAAAGACTCCAAGGTCAGGGATACTTGATTATTGATGGATTTGGACGCTAAAGGGCTTTTCACCGCTTTTGTCAATACAGCTTTTCATACCTGCACCACCTTGTGTATGAAAAACGCCAAAGAAAACCCACCATCACCACAGACAATAAAATGTGTACCATTCCTCCCCTCCTGATACCACCACCTCCTCTTGGAGGTCCCAAAAGACTGAAAATAAAGCATATGAGTTTTTAGTAATGTAATGATTGGCTTCACGCCATTACACCACAAAGGAATTGGGTAATACCAGCCAGGTCACTGACCACATTACAGATAAGCCCACAGAGACCCATCTCTGAACCCACGCGCCATGTATGGATGTAATAACATATTCTCAAATGACAGCCCCAGCAACACAGCATGCCAATAGCAGGGTCTGGACAAGGAAAGTGCTGAGAATGAGGCCAATTCTTGGCCTAGCTCGTTACTTGAGCTCATACACCAAATCTGGATTTTAGATATAAATATTTAATAAAAGTTTTTTAGAACCAATTAAGTATGCTATCAATGTTTATACTATGTTTAGTATTTTTAAAATATAAGACTAATTTCTTAATTATCACCTTTCCCTTGATATAGCAACTGCAAACCCTTAACTTGATTCTCTCCTATATAAGCTCTCAATTGATAACCACATAATTGTCCCTGAAGATTCATTATCTCATTTGATCATTAAATGAAGTTTTCAGGATGCCAGTGTCACATTCTGTAGGATCAGTCTCTGCCACTGACTTTCTAATATAATACCTTCAACCCTTTTTCATAAACTAATTTCTGTTGACCTCTTTCATCTAAACTGACTTTGGTTTCTTAGAGGAATCTGAGACTTTGCTAACCAGGCCAAAGTGTGGACCAGGCTGTTCCTGATCCATTACAGCAATAGTTGCTACCCAATTTCCATTTTGGTGAATATCAGATAACTATTTTATTTAGTTAAAATTATAAATTAAGCTTAGTTTATAACCAGCCATTGATGTTGGGCCAATTAGGCCCCTAAGCCTAAACTACTTTATTTTAACTTTGAGGTTTGCATATACTGGACAGAATTTTCACTATTCTAGTTTTTGATTCTACTGTTTCTGCCATTCTGCCTCTCAAATAAGCTTATTTATTACTTGAATATAGATAATAATTATTTCTTAAATTGAAATATATTAAGTATATTTATTTGTGCTAGTTATACTATATAAACCCTTGACGCCATTGTTTACTTTGTAGCACGTAGGCACCTTCAGAGACCCCAAAGGCGAAGAGATTGGCTTAGTCACTGTACTCTGCCAGTGGGTCATCAGAGTTGGCCATGAAATGCTTATGATTACAACCCATGATTATAGCAGTATCATTATTTAAAACTAGAAAATTTGATATATAATGTCATTTATGAGAAAACTTTCTTTTGGCATAGGGTTACATTTGCTAACATAAAATTCAGGATTTAGAGGAAAGCTAAGCGTTACTTTATTCAAACATATAATTTACTATGATGAGGGATGGCCATTGTCCAAGAAAACCTAACCTTATTGTTTAACAAGACTTTTCTCTCTCCGTTGTGGTAGGAAAGGTTGAGAGATTCCATTTAGACTACTAAAAGTTGAGGCCTCTTATACTCATTAGGAGATTTATAAGGGAGGATTTGACGCTTTCCATGACACATAGACTTCTGAATTGTATTTTCACTACAACTTAATTGTAAAAGGGCACACACAAATATTCAGGGCCACAAGTTTCACTGCACTTATGGAACCAAAGGGGCTAATCTTTTTGTGAGCATTATTGTAGCAATCAGCTTTGATAATCTGTGGTTTCCCTAGTGCTAGGTGTTACAAAAGTGGCCAGCTTGTTCAGGGAGTGCTGATGAAAGGTTAAGCCACTTGCAATAATTTGTATTTGTTCTCATAATGCAACACTAGGAAATTTGGAGAGTCTATTGATTGGATATGTAAGACTTTTACTCAGGGTTTAAAGCGCGTCCAAAAGAGGTGAAACCTTGGAATAATATATAATGGTGGCTGATCATAAGCACACCAGAGCTCCTTTCAACTTTTTCTGATAACAAAAAAGAAATATATACTTTAATAGTAATTCTTTCTTATATTTGATGTTATTAGCACCAAATAAAAAATAAAGGTAAATTCTGTGAAAGAATTTATTTTATCTATGATAAATGGAAAATACATATAGTAATATTGGTATTTGGAATGCTTTAGTTATGTCTTGATTTATATCAATTAAAATGCTTTCATATGTGTTTTATCTGTATATTGGTTTCAGAGCCAGCAAAGTCAATTGCCTGATTCTCCTCTTATCTTCTGGGTTTCTTCCGTGGATTATCACATGTAGCTCTTGCATTTTTATGAATGCATGGCTGCTATTCTGAACTTAACTGTGATTAATGATGTTCCCATGAATCTTGTATCTCTTGAAGCAGCATGGGAATCTCTGTTGTATCAATCAAATGAGTTTTAAAACAAATTTTGCTTCCTGATTAAATAAAATACTCATTTCTCAGAGGCATACAAATTGGGAAACACTCTTTGGATGGGAATTTAGTAATTCTGTCATTGGCAATAGAACCCAAAGTATTAAAGGGGTTCCTTGGAGAGTCACTTGTGATGTTGTGCGCATAGATTTTTTGACCATTAGATACTACTTCATCTTCTGAAATCATGGTGTTTGGCCGTCAAATTATTGCGGAAGTCAGGAGTCATATAAAGACCTCTTTTGGCAGTTTTTAGACTAATTAAAGCCTATAAAAGGTGCTTCAAAATATAACAATTTTCCTGATACTGGCTGTAGTAGGAT